TCCGCAACGTATTCCTGTTTCCTAGTCTGCCCTATGATTCCGTGTGAACTCGTTGAACTACGTTGTATTGTTTGTTCAAGAGCAAGATCTGGCGACACTGCGTTAAAAGATCCCGAGGTTCTCTTTACTACAAAATTCTTTTTCAAAAAGGAGTCATGTAACTCTGGGTGAGTGTGCTTGACATTTTTAAGAAGCTCCAAGTAAAAAGAGTCGTTTCTCAAATAGTTTGGACTGTCACAACCAAGAAAGGGGGAAGTTGGTCGTTTAGCTCCGGACAGTCTATGCACGGTCCCTGCACGGTCCATGCAACAACAAAAGAACAATTTATACACGGTCCCTGCACGGTCCCTGCACAATGAACACTTGATGCCCACTCCCTGCACGGTCAGTCCCTGCACACTCCCTGCACGGTCTATGCACGGTCCCTGCACAGTAGCATATGAACACCGGCTACTGGCCGGCTACTAGCCGGCTAGTAGCCACTTTTGTAATAACAGCTCCTCAACTTCACATTACCAAACCGGCTACTAACCGGCACTTAAAAAGTAGTCACTAGCCGGCTACTAACCGGCTACTAGGCGGTCACTAGCCGGCTATTAGCTTGGCTCTAAAGCAGACCTACTTTCTCGAGGTCCCCAACCGGCTACTAGCCGGCACTTGAAAAGCGGTCACTAGCTGGCTACTAACCGGCTACTAACCGGCTAGTAGCCACCAAGTGGCTACTAACCGGCTACTAGGCAGTCACTAGCCGGCTATTAGCTTGGCTCTAAAGCAGACCTACTTTCTCGAGGTCCCCAACCGGCTACTAGCCGGCACTTGAAAAGCGGTCACTAGCTGGCTACTAACCGGCTACTAACCGGCTAGTAGCCACCGAGTGGCTACTAACCGGCTACTAGGCGGTCACTAGCCGGCTATTAGCTGAGCTCTAAAGGCTAGTAGCCGGCTAGTAGCCGGTTTGGGACCTCGAGAAAGTAGGTCTGCTTTAGAGCTCAGCTAATAGCCGGCTAGTGACCGCCTTGTAGCCGGTTAGTAGCCACTTGGTGGCTACTAGCCGGTTAGTAGCCGGTTAGTAGCCGGCTAGTGACCGCTTTTAAAGTGCCGGCTACTAGCCGGCTAGTAGCCGGTTTGGGACCTCGAGAAAGTAGGTCTGCTTTAGAGCTCAGCTAATAGCTGGCTAGTGACCGCCTAGTAGCCGGCTTTGTGGTCACTAGCCGGCTAGTAGCCGGTTAGGGAGCGTGCATCTAGTGTTCATTGTGCAGGGACCGTGCAGGGACCGTGCATGGAGTGTTCTTTTGTTGTTGCATGGACCGTGCAGGGACCGTGCATAGACTGTCCGGAGCTAAACGACCAACTTGCCAAGAAAGGTAAAAGGTCTTGAATGGTCTTCATATTCAGATCTCCATCTCTTTCTGATCGTATGAAGTTTCTTATGAGGTTCATGATTATCAGAAAGTTGAACCAATACTTGCATTGTGACGAGCTTTCCGAACAAATTTTCTCAAAACGACCAATATCCTGGTTTAACTTATTGACAGTATTGCAAGAGATCAGACATTTACGATTGAGAAAATGCTTTATTGTTGTCACAGAGAGCTTCCTGAAATCGTTCCAGCTTAACTATAGCATCAGAGTAGTTTTGCGGTGGGTGCTCTTTCCAAAAAGCCTTCATTTTCATTCTCGTCATAGAATCACTTAGAATTGTAAGACCCCCTAAAGAACGATAGTAATGCTTTCCATTCATTACTGAATCTACAGTCTTCGGACCAAAGATTCCACATTCTATGAATATTTCCTCGACTCCAGACCCCTTCAAAAATTTTCCCGCGCAGTGCAAGCTGCAAGGCCGTTTTAGTCAAGTGGAATCCACCAAGCATGGGGAATATCTTGAAGAACAGTTCTGGCTGCTGCAGGTAGATTTTATCCTATCTCACATTAATCACTCTTAACGGAAATTTTAGTTAAAATTGGGCGTGGTTATCTTATCAATGGGTGGTCTTAGAGTCAAATAGACATCGCCAATCGATTTCCCGAGCCAACAAACATTGGTTTTGACACACAACTTGTCCAAGAAAATCACTTAAATTTTTGTAAATTTTGAAGATTAATTGTGAATATGGGCGTGGTTATCTTATCAGGGAGTGGTCTGAGATTCAAATAGACATCGCCAATCGATTTCCCGTGCCAACAAACATTGGTTTTGACACCCAACTTGTCCAAGAAAATCACTTAAATTTTTTGGAATTTTGAAGCTCAATTATGAATTATGAATATGGGCGTGGTTATCTTAGCAGAGAGTGGTCTGAGATTCAAATAGACATCACTAATCGATTTCCCGAGCCAAAAAACAATGGTTTGGATAACCTATATGCTTTTATCACAATGCTGGCAAGCATTACCGTCGCCCTTATATTCACAATACTATTTACCCCCTATACTATTATATCCCCTTTATTGATTTCCAGGCATTAAGACTAAGTAGATCAGCAGGTACATTTAAGTTCAAAACATTCTAATTCAATGTTAAAGATGACAGGAATAAGAAATAGTTATATGGAGGTTTTTAAGAAATTTGCGCAAAATACGCGCCAGCATGTTATAGGTACGAAATTAGGTAAAAAACCCAAAATCGCCATATTCAGGTGCCTTAAAAACCATGTTAAAATTGAGTTAGAGATCTGAAACTTTGCAGGGCGTCTAGACCTTGTCCAAATCGACTGTTAAAAAAATTTCATGTTTCAGGAGTATCGGGAAGTGGGTTTTCTGGAACCCCTGTTTTACAACAGATTGTCGTGAAGATATATAATATATAATATAGACGCTTTTTGCAGTCAATTGTAGCCTACATTTAAGTGTCCGTAGAGTCGAAAGTATAAACGATACAGTCATCTCGAACCACAGGTTTTAAAGATAATCGTTTAAGCTTTAGTTTACATTGTATTGAAAAATAATTTAACGTCATCATCATCACTTGATGACGTCATCAAATTAAGTGTTTTAATAACTTGATTTTTGACAAAGTAACAACTTTTCAAATCGATTTTACGCTATTAAGGAGTAATTTTATTCAAAATCTGAGGACATTTTCATCTTAGATAATTGTTCAAGCATTCCGAAAATCTACCGGAATAGTTTCCTACCTTGCTCCTTCATAAAGATATTTGCTATTGAAGTTAGTGCTTTTTTGAAGAATAATTTTATAAAAACACAAAAGTTGTGAATTAGTATTCTCTGGTGTTGGGTCATCCCTTGGGTTGTGGAGCTCAATTTTGCTTCTTAAAGGTGTAAATTGTGTTATAGGCTAGTTTTAAAGTTAAAAATCGAAAATTTGCACACGTGGGGACACGCCCAAATTTATTTAAAATAGCTAAAATCACTAAAAATTTTGATTTTCACGATTTTTATCAACTTTGGAGTCCCGTTGTGATCCAAGTTCTTTTTGAAATCTTCTGAAACTTTGCATGCTTATCAAACTATATATTAAATACCACTATGCAAAAATTTACGGTGATTCAATATTGTATGCGCACGCAACGTCCGCTCAAAGATTGCACGTGCGAAAGGTGAGAATTTTGCTCATTCGTGATTTCGAATATATTCTGCTTTCCACGATATTTAAATGGCATTATATATTAATTTAATGCCAACTTGAATGAGTAAAAAGTGCCATATTCAGTCGGTTATCGACAGATATACCTAACTTAACACAAGGAAACGTTTTCAAAGGCAGAATTTCGAAATCGTCGGAATTACCTCCTTGTTAATGAAGTTTCGATTGTGTAAATTATCCTGACATTATAATCAAAAAGAGATGATATTTGACCAAAACCCATAATCATGGGTAGAGTGTACCGCTGCCAGTGTCTCTCTTTTCCAAACAAAAGGAAATGATATTAATTTGAGGAACCGTCCGCTAATGCAAATTGATACCGAGAATGAAATCGGTCGCTCGCTTTTCCCATTTAATAAGCTTTATTACAATTCGTAAGCCGTGAATGAATGGGAAAAGCGAGCGACCGATTTCATTCTCGGTATCAATTTGCATTAGCGGACGGTTCCTCAAATTAATATCATTTCCTTTTGTTTGGAAAAGAGAGACACTGGCAGCGGTACACTCTACCCATGATTATGGGTTTTGGTCAAATTATCAAAATATGAATTTATTTCAGGAAATTGTAAGATTTTCCCACGATCTTATAAAAGGGCGTGGCCACAGACTTCGAAGATACATAACTTTTTTTCCACCCAAATTTTTTTTGATCTATAGACCCTTCTGGAGCCAAATAACATCATAAACCTACTATATGTATTCATATATATGATTGCAGTGTCGGGTCTATTCACATAACGTGACATTAAGTCTTGTGTTTAAAGGGGTACATGTAGACTTATACCCTTTTAGCCTATATACAATTTGGTAAGAATGAATTATTAAAAGGGACCATCTCAATTTGTATCCTTTTTACTTATCGGTCTAGGTGCGCTATTTTAGATATAAAAAGGGGTTAAGTTGACTTATGTCCTTTCTAAAAATTAGGGTTACCTAAAATTTCATCAAATCAAGTTGATACTTGGTGACATGATGACTCATGACCCGAGGGTTCCAAAACCGGTGAACAAATAGAAAGGGTATATCTTAACTTGTACCCTTTCTATTTGGAGGTGACGAAATGTCTAATTTAACACATCTGAGGGCTATTTCAAAAAGTTGGAACTGCGCCACCAAAAATATTGTTAATTTATCGACTATCGAGTAGCGTAGCATCTGAGACAATATTCTGTACCATATAATCGTAAAAAGTCCACTAATCACTCGATGGCAATTTTATCGGCATTTACGTTAATGAACTTCTGGTGAATCCAGGTATTAACATACAGAATGTGTAAGATAAATATTAGAATATGTAAGATAAATCGTCATATTTCTAGTTAATACCAGCTGGGCTTTGTCGTGCCACCTTGCTAGATTATATAACGCTACAACTTTTCCGGTTCTGGTAAAATTCACATTTGCAGTAATAACTGTAGCTCCTCAGATTCTCTAGATTACATTTTCCTGTTAACCTCGTGAATACAGTCTCGAGAAATCAACCCTAGTTTTATTTCTGACTTGAAAGTTGAAAATGTTTTTCCTATTCGTTCTCACATTCTGCATTGTATCTCCCGTTGCTCAAACAGTGGACAGAAAGTACACTGCCCTGCAGTTTGGGACCACTTCAAGCGACTACATAAGCTTCAGCCACAATATGTCCCCGTTCCGTAATGCTTTAACCCTGTGTACCTGGATTAAGAGAGTGTACACCTCATCCTCCTACCCAGTCGTGTTTCATTACCAAACCAGCTCTACTACTTACGAGATATTGACTGGATCTGTCGGGGAATACAACAGAGTACTAGGTGATGGGGTTTTAGAGAACTCACACAGTAAATTCACTACCCCGGCCGGACAATGGTTCCATTATTGTCTGACTTGGTCCTCCTCCTCACGGACTATTCAGATCTACCTGGACGGGGAACTAGCAGCTAGCGGCCAGACTTCATCCGGGAACTGGAGAGAACTGCACGCTAGCGGGACTGTGTGGTTTAATAGACTGGGTTACAGTGCCGGTAGTAGTTGGATATTTGGTGGTCAGTTGTACAGATTTAATCTGTATAATGAAATACTCAGCTCGGGTACGATAAAAAGAATAGCATACGGGGGTTTGTGTGCTGAAGTAGAGGAGACTATTGGTAGTAGAACACTTCGCTGGGAGGACGTACTGGAAAAGTCAAGAACTGGGTTAGTGGTCGAAGTTGGAATTGACTGTTATTTGATAAAAGAATTAAGAATGATGAGAAAACAGTTGGATACGGTCAAAGGACAACTTAACAGAACTAATGATGACCTGAAAACAACAACAGGTCTATTAAATAGCACACAAGAAGAGTTACACACAGTAACAGGGCAGCTAAACCGAACAGATGAAGAGCTAGATAGCACTGAAGTTAGTCTTGAGTACGAAGTCACCAGACATAACCGAACTAAAGAAGAGTTGAGTAGGACTAGAGAAAGCCTGGAGACTGTAACCGCCAGATCTAACCGAACTAAAGAAGAGTTGAGTAGGACTAGAGAAAGCCTGGAGACTGTAACCGCCAGATCTAACCGAACTAAAGAAGAGTTGAGCAGGACTAGAGAAAGCCTGGAGACTGTAACCACCAGATCTAACCGAACTAAAGAAGAGTTGAGCAGGACTAGAGAAAGCCTGGAGACTGTAACCACCAGATCTAACCGAACTAAAGAAGAGTTGAGCAGGACTAGAGAAAGCCTGGAGACTGTAACCACCAGATCTAACCGAACTAAAGAAGAGTTGAGTAGGACTAGAGAAAGCCTGGAGACTGTAACCGCCAGATCTAACCGAACTAAAGAAGAGTTGAGTAGGACTAGAGAAAGCCTGGAGACTGTAACCGCCAGATCTAACCGAACTAAAGAAGAGTTGAGTAGGACTAGAGAAAGCCTGGAGACTGTAACCGCCAGATCTAACCGAACTAAAGAAGAGTTGAGTAGGACTAGAGAAAGCCTGGAGACTGTAACCGCCAGATCTAACCGAACTAAAGAAGAGTTGAGTAGGACTAGAGAAAGCCTGGAGACTGTAACCACCAGATCTAACCGAACTAAAGAAGAGTTGAGTAGGACTAGAGAAAGCCTGGAGACTGTAACCGCCAGATCTAACCGAACTAAAGAAGAGTTGAGTAGGACTAGAGAAAGCCTGGAGACTGTAACCGCCAGATCTAACCGAACTGAAGAAGAACTGATCACGTGCTCTGCAGAATTAACGGACACTAAATCTCAGTTGAAAGGGGCCAGAAAGTTCAGTAATATAACTATGTGGGACATTTTATACACAGACTCGTTCTATCATAAAATATTTACTGGGCAACTACTGATGATTTGAAGTCCTGGTCATGGGATTTACTGGGTGAGATATATAAAATTATGATTGTAGCCAACTATCCAGTATCCAGTTGTAAGGTCTCGCTATCCATTGACATGCATATTAGTTATTTATTATTTATATTTTCTAACTTATTTTATTTTTCCAGAATTAAGCATTTGCTCGAATGACCATGACAGTTATGTCCGCAAGTTTCATTTGTTATCTAAGTTAAAACAATCAATCCATCCGAAGTGTTGTGAAAACTTCTTCATTTCAGAGGAATTTGTTGGAGTAAACGTCACAGAGGGAGTTATAAACCACCTACAAAAACATGATGTTGGAAAAGCGGAGTGCGGTGAAAAGAGCGCGAGTGATATTCTGGAAATGTGGGGTTAGTTAATAGTTAATACGCAAATTTTACTTTCGATTTGTGTTTCACTTTATTAGCTTCCTCATGGGTGGAACCCCCAATCTCCTCTTGTATCCGACGTTCCCAGTTTAATAGAAATTTCTTTCAGATGAATTCATTGGCGTTAAGATGACCAGGGGAATAATCAAGCATTTTAGGAAAAATCACATCGACGAGCCCTGTGACGACTGACGCCGACGGTGATATATTTATAAACATTCCAACAGTCGAACACAATTGAATGAACCCTATTCTTAAAATGTTCGACATTATGCTACTTTCCTGAAGCTAACTATATACTTATATACATATTAAATTTGCCAATGGACCTTAATAGACGTTTTATTTTCCGATAAATTGGTATTACTATTGCAACGATGGTTTGAAAAATGAGAAATACAAGGGCTAGGAACCGACCGGAATGGGCTTTTGGCTGCCGGATCGGATCTTGCCGGATATCAATTTATTATCCGGTTAGCCAGATTCTGCCGGACCGGAGCCTGTTTTAGGAGGGTGAAATATAAGGCAGCCGGAACTTGCAGGATCTTGCCGGATCTTGCCGGAAAATTTAAATTAATCCTTATTATTGGGCTTTTGTCATTATCTATTATGATATTAATCCTTATAAGCCATAGTTTGTAATTAAACAATAAGTTCCGAATTTCTAAGAGCTATACGACCAGACCAATGATGTTTACTGTTTATGCCTAGCAGTAGAATTAATATGTAAAATATCAAATCAACAAGCAGAACGTTGTAACAAGAGTAGGCAAGTTATTATCAGAAATGATATGTAATTGGCATATCCTACTAGACCCTTGAGCGCGATTGCACGTGTGAGACACAGTTGTTCCCTTTTTGTCATGCAGGTCTGAGTATCAAAGAACAATAGTTCCAGATTCAGGACATAATTGTACCTTTTTAGCACGCAGGTGCACTTAATCACTGGTAATTAATTCCAATTAAGCGACACAGTAGTACCCGATTCAGGCCACGATAGTATCCTGATTTGCATGCAAGCATATTTTATCACTGGATCGTTTTTACTAGACAGCAGTCTGCTGTCTGCACAGTAAAACGTGATAAAGAACAATACTAGAGCTACAGCTCGTAATAAGATTTTTTCGGTTTTTCATAGTCTGCACCTACCCCTCGGTACACAATTTTAGACTCGAGGCTTCTCCCTGGTAATGCGATCTCGGAAGGCCGGCCTCCCCTTTGTAACACGAGCTCGGAAGCGGGAGCTCTCGATACAGGAGGTACGTATCGAGAATGAGTCGGACCGAAAATTTTCTAAGTCACAATTTGTTCGAAGTTTTTCTGATAACAACTTTTCTCCAATTTTCATGCAATGATTCTGTGGCAAAATTTAAACTTTTCTTTATTTGGCAAAGCTTAGAGCCTTCTCGGATTGTTGCAACAAACGGAAAAATTGATTCACGATATCAATCATTCGCAGCTTTCTAGCTTTACTCGGCGAGCCCCAGTGGTGCATCTCGCTACAATTAATTATTTAATTCTAATCAAACAATTAATTTAAATAATTAATCAAATAAGTTGCTAAACTAAATAAAACGAACATTTGATTTAAAAGAGTTGGATAAAATGAAAATACAATATTTAAAGTTCTGCGAGCTTAATATAATATAAAAATTAAAATCATTCCATTCATATCATGCATTTAAATTCAGTTCTACTTCTAGTATAGAATATTCTAGTATATATATGTTCATTTGTCTTCTTCACCAAGAAGTTTACTAATTTTAGTCTCTAAGTTGTAAATATTGTAGTTAGTATTACTAATTGTGCTTCGATGTGTCCTCTCTCTGCATGCAAGGATTTTTGCGTCGTTTATCGATTATTCAGGAACATCTGAAAAAGTAATCTGTCATGTGACTGTGAGAGTATTGAAAAGCACACTGCTGTAAATTACAGTCGTACCTCGTTATAATGTACATCATGATCAAGAGAGGAAAGAATTTATACCGAAAAACCGCGTTTTAGCGAGGTTTAACTTTACCTAGCTAGCTTGCAATTCTATTTTGTCATACGTTGTATGACCTGCCGCGCACGAGTGCGCGGCTCCCCCTGTCATGTATCGTAAAAACGATAAAGTTAGTGAAACGACCGTGGGGGTCACGACGTGATACAAAGTCTACTGCTCGCTTCTCTCTCAGTATTTGTATGAAAGACAGTTTGGTTTTAACTTTTAACTGACGAATCAAAATGATTGAAGCTATAATGTGTAACTATAAGCGGGTGTAGTATTTCACTTAGCCATGGTGCCGCCTCCTGTGGTGCCCTCGGCGGTCGAGCGCTACTGCAGGCGAGAGGGCTTCATGGTTAGAGCAAAGCGGGTACTGAGCGTCAAGGAATATTGAAAACTAATTCTAATAGTAACATGCAGTACATGGAACAGTTTGGTGATTATTATTATTGTAGTTTTATACGTCTATTTCCACAATTCATTACATTTATCATTATATGGGCGACAGTGACACAGATTAAATACACATAAAAAGATTGAAGCTGGCTTCAGGCCAGGTGTTTCGTCTGCCAGGGGGGGGGGGTCATCCTGACTGAAGCTACTTGAGTTATAGTTCGGTGTTGCTCGCATTCCTTTAACTATGTAAATATCAATGTAAATTGATATTTTATTTTTTGGTTGATCTTCATGAGGGTACTATTGTTTTCAAAGTGGGTAAAATTTGTTCTGGAAATAGACAAATAAATAATAATGGATCAGTTGAACTGTGTGTAAGAGGAGACTGGAGAGTGTGATTCTACGGAATTTTTTAGTGGACTGCGGTGTGTGGTGTGTGTTTCTAATACTTTAATACATTTATAAGCTTTTAATAAGAGCTCGCTGCAACTCAGTGGTAAAGGTCATCTTTTCAGAGGCTAAAACATTCGCCATCAACATTCACCATCAACATTCGCCATCAATATTCGCCATCAACATTCGCCATCAACATTCAACAATAGTTCAACAGCAAAAAAGCTGAAAATCAAATATTGATTTTGCACGTGAAATCACACTAGGGGAAGTAGGGGTCAAATGAAACGGGTACAAACTTTTGGATGCAACATCAATACCATACATTGGGATATACTCATATTGGGTACACAAGCTCTTAAGAACGTTCTAAACACTATCAACCCACTTCAATCATTAAAATTCAATAATTGTTTATTTAATTAGATGTTTCATTTGACCCTAAGAAATACTGCATTTCAAATTACCAGGGTCAAATGAAACAGGCCTCCTCAGTGTCAAATGACTTCCCCTACAGGTTGAGAACTGTAGGGGAAGTAAGGGTCAAATGAAACGGGTACAAACTTTTGGATGCAACATCAATACCATACATTGGGATATACTCATATTGGGTACACAAGCTCTTAAGAACGTTCTAAACACTATCAACCCACTTCATTCATTAAAATTCAATAATTGTTTATTTAATTAGATGTTTCATTTGACCCTAAGGGGTACTGTTTCATTTGACCAAATCGTATATGGTGAGAGTTTTTCAATACAGCATGTTAATTGTATGTTCCTATGCTTAAAAACCACTAGAATACTTAAATACGATCATTAATGTTGAAGACTAAATCAAGAAACATTCGGTAAATGTAATTGGTTCAAGCACAGAGGTAACAAATGTTAAGCGCAACATTCTAGGGAAAGATGAAGTGGAGAGGAAGTAGATTGTAACTCTATAATCAACTTTTCTCATATATTCTAGGAAAGGTATATGTAATAGGTAATTCAATAGAAGTCGATCCCGCCTGTTTTAAGCCATGACAAGTTAATAGTACTAGAGATATAGCCGTGTTTCATTTGACCCTGGTGTTTCATTTAACCCCAGCTTCCCCTACATGCTGATGCAGGAGTGGCTTTTGTTCACTTAATGAGTTAATCATTTTATAACTTTATGAGCACAGCTAGTATAAGAGAGCTTGTAGGTTTATAACCTACCAAGACGCGCGCTGAGTTAAGCTCGTCAACGGTCTAATATTTGGAACAAATATTTTATGAATATCACCTGTTAAACTTAAAAGTAGAGCTAAAAATAACTGTTATCTTACTTTTAAAAAGCCCGATTTTAATAAAGTTAATTGAACCGTCTCTTGCTTCTAACAAGAATTACGACCGAGAGACGATATAGATTAAGTAAAACTTACGTTTTAAAAATAAGATTGAGACTAATTGAGATTGAGTATGAATTTTATTTTTCGTGAACCTTTTCTTAATGCATATAACACATCTTTGATGATTATACTGTTATGTGCTCTCAGAATTTAGAAAAAATCTGTATGACCAAAGTAAGCGACCGTAAATTTCCAAATGTCAAAATTCAAATTTTCCAACTCAATTTAACATTAGTTGATTAGCTAAAAGCTGGGGTCCGGTATTTTTTCCCAAAGCACAAGGGCTCGGTCAGCGTTTATAAATGTAATACTAATAGCCAACTCTTTAATGATAATTGTTGCATATTATGGAACAATAGATATGTGTTGGTGTACATTGATGTACATTCATTATGATCTTAAGGGCAAGAGTAGAACTAGAATTCTTTTGGGTACGCTACGAGTAAAAAACTTATAATTCTCGTGAGGATAATTCAACATTAGAATTTGCCCGATGAGTGTAAGATGAGTGTATATTTAAGAAAGTTCGCACGAGATGGACCACGTTTTTCACAATTTGACTTTTGAATATTTTCACTGGAAGAACTTTTGAGATAGGCATATGATATTTCACATGCCTATAATAGTTCAAATTATTGACTTTCAATGAAATTTTCTGCGTACTTAGTACTAGTAGTTGAGGGCAAATGGGGACTAACGAGCCATTCTAAATGTTAAATTTATCCGATAAGTGTAAAGATTCGCACAAAGCACTACAGTTAGAATTTCGTATTTTATAGTTTTTAAAATCAAAAATTTCGTATAAGTATAACGGGCCTTTGTAATTTGATACGCTATGCAGTTTTAAAAGTATTTAATACAAATCAAGACTCACCAGCGGCATCAGCAGCAGCTTTATTCTTTCTGAAGCGTGCTCTCAAATTGGGAAATCGTACACCTATTAAGAGTTGTTAATATTAATGTTATATAAATGTGGATTGTGGTGGGAGGCATCTGTTTTGACACGTGGCAACTATAAACCAATCAGCTTCTACTATTGGTATACTGAAGCAGATACACACAGTGCACAACAGTTCAACTTATATATTTTATAGTTATTTTAGATCATTAAGACTCACCGGCGGCAGCAACTTTCGTGGCCGCTGCTTCCTTTAAACAGGTCACCACTTCCGCGATCTTAGCAACCATGGCTTTGATTTTGGCACCTGCAAGGGAGTAATTTACTCTTTGTTTTTCATAATTTCTCAAATTTATTGCATTTAAATGTAGTTTCGATTTGTCTTGTCTTTTCACAAACGTTAAATTATAGCCAAAGAAGTATGTATATAATATACATTTAAACCTATATACTCCGTGCCTTTCTATACCGGGTACTTCGATATACCGAGAGGCCTGGTATATATAGGGGCCCGAGAGGCCTGGTATATAGAGGTTTCACTGTGGTATTTAAGAAGAGAATTAATTGAAATCATATTTTATTTCTGACTCTGCAAAATAAATTACTCACCTTCCTCACTACCCTCCTCATATGTAACCTCGACACCGTTTACTTGGTTTTTATACGCAGCAATAGCCTTCCTTATCATTGCTGGTGGGAAGTAACCATGGTAACACGAAATTAGAGCACTTAATTATTGTATTAAACCAGCGCTGGCCATGTGACCAGCGCTGGTCACTCTCGAGCTATTGGACTTGGAGTACATAATAACATAATTGTTATTTGCTTTTAATAACTTTTTCATAAATCGGGTTAAAACCTGTATAGTAGTTAACTAACTTAAGTTTGAAACAATTCTACATTAAATGAATCAAATTAATTTTATAAGATTATGCAAAGTAAAATTCCTTACCTCCTTGGTCAGTATCATCTTCCGGTTTGAACAGAGTCTGATCCTTCCAGCGTTGAACGACTTCTTTGACAAAATCTGGTGGATTATTGTACTTAATGTACTACTTTATAATGTAATGTAATGATATCAACACAACCTTATGTGGTTAAATAGCTATTGTTGCACCATAAAGAAAATTTAAAACATCTCATCAAAAGTTATGGAATTATGAATTAATGGTTTTATAAAACTCATTTCCGATTCTGCTTAAGGGGGGGGGCCAATGGATATTTTTTTGTGAAACTTGATTTCGAGATAGCAGTTGACCAACAAACTAAGACCAGTGACCGAACTTTTGAGGGGGTCCCGGACCCCAACCGCCAAACGGTGCCCGCGCGGCAGCCACGCCCATATTTGGTCCAAATTAGGCCCAATTTAGCCAAATACTCTGAACATGCCCAAAACCCAAATTTTAGGTGCTCTACTTGTAGCTAGTGGCCTCTTGAAGTCGTATATGAAATTTCATCAAGATTGGACAAAAAATGACTGAGTTATGAGCCAAAAACCATATGCCCATATTTGGGCATACGCACCAAATTTGGTAGATTTCGTCCCATAAATTGGTCAAATATCAATATTTTTCACTGAAACTTACTTTATATGAAAGGTAAGCCTAAACTACATATTCTCTGTAAGTTATAGCTTTATATCTGTTTAAATGTGGATACTAAGGCGAAAAGACCACAAAAAATGAACTAAATTGCCCATATCTTGGTTCGCGATATTCGCGGAATTGATCTCATTAAAATTGTAACAACTCGATCAGTTTTCAAAATTTTTCCATGAAATTTTCGGAATCGACTCGAAATCGCATTTCCACCTTAGTTTGAGAACAGATTTTTGATTAAGGCCTCAAAAAAAATTTGGCGGCCAAATTCTGAATTTCTCCGGGAAAAGTTTGGAATTTGGCCGCCAATTTTTTTTGGAGGCCTAAATCAAAAATCTGTTCTCAAACTAAGGTGGAAATGCGATTTCGAGTCGATTCCGAAAATTTCATGGAAAAATTTTGAAAACTGATCGAGTTGTTACAATTTTAATGAGATCAATTCCGCGAATATCGCGAACCAAGATATGGGCAATTTAGTTCATTTTTTGTGGTCTTTTCGCCTTAGTATCCACATTTAAACAGATATAAAGCTATAACTTACAGAGAATATGTAGTTTAGGCTTACCTTTCATATAAAGTAAGTTTCAGTGAAAAATATTGATATTTGACCAATTTATGGGACGAAATCTACCAAATTTGGTGCGTATGCCCAAATATGGGCATATGGTTTTTGGCTCATAACTCAGTCATTTTTTGTCCAATCTTGATGAAATTTCATATACGAGTTCAGGAGACCACTAGCTACAAGTAGAGCACCTAAAATTTGGGTTTTGGGCATGTTCAGGGTATTTGGCTAAATTGGGCCTAATTTGGACCAAATATGGGCGTGGCTGCCCCGCAGGCACCGTTTGGCGGTTAGGGTCCGGGACCCCCTCAAAAGTTCGGTCACTGGTCCTAGTTTGTTGGTCAACTGCTATCTCGAAATCAAGTTTCACAAAAAAATATCCATTGGCCCCCCCCCTTAATTTTATGGTCATTTGTTCAATTTATTCCATTTGTTGTTTTCTATTTCTATCGAATCGAAGTTCGGTAGAACCACTTTTACTTTATTTATCATTTCTCAAGTAATCTATAATATTATATCAATAGATTTGTCATAATCGGGTCAAAACTGCAGACCATGAATCTTACCTCCATTCACATTAGCAATATCATCGGCATTGTCCTTTCTGCACTGGATCGCTTTCTGAACTAGATCATTCAGTATACCTGCAGAAATGTTACCGTAATCAATGTAATTATTGTTATCATTGTATTTAATAACTTAGTTTGTTTAATAATGGCCGGTTAAATTCGGCGGTTTTCGGAAATTCCACCATATTTTAACCCGCCATTATTGATTATTTTTAACCGCAATAATAAAACCCGCGAGCAGTATTATTGTCGCATCTGAGCACTATTATTATTACGACAGCTCTATAATGGCCCTAACTCTAACAATACCCCTAACCCTACTTGATCCTAACTCTAACAATAATCTAGTCATAATATAGTGCTGTCGTAATGTTAGCAACTCCAAAACCTATGTAACACGTCGGATTTGTTACACAATTTGGGGCTGAACTTCTGTAACAGCAACGGAGTACTTGCAAGCGCACTGATTAGGTATGCTGAACCAGATAAATACATGAGAACATTAATTTGATGGGTTATAAATCATCAAGACTCACCTTCAAAAATCTCTGTTATACCATCACCGTTACTAAGTCTATCTTTATAAAGGTTTGCTAACAATTTCCCATCTCCGACTGAGAAATATTGTAATGTTATCTTTTCAGTTTCAACTAAACGTGATAATGATAATACCAGAAAATTCGAATATTCAGCAGTATATTTACAAATGTGACTCGTGAATAGTATTCCGATCTTATTGTTAAAAGTACTTTTTTGCATATCTCTTTCTCGTACAATTAAGATTGTACTTTTATACTCACATACACGCCCTTTTACAAACATTTAAAAAATCCTTGGCGAGTGATATAGTAAAACAGCTTCTTAATAAAGAACAGATTTATTTTGAAATAAAAATAAGCAAAACTTACACGCGGACTCAGCAACTGAAAAACAAGCGATCACGATGAGCACTAGCGATAACATCTTCATGATGGAGAAAACAGAAACACTATACCTTAATTGATAAAATCTAAACTGGAAAATTTAAAAGTGAGGATTGAGCCTGACGGGGTGTTATAGTTGCTCTCATTCACGCGTTCACATTGAATATGGGCAGGTAGATCACGTGTAAGCTACTGTGCTCGATGAACGTGATCACTTTGGAAACCGTACTCTTAGTCACGAATTAATTTATCACGGAATGGAGGGTAGGTTAGCTAGTGGACCTTCGCCAGTGCTTCCTTTTTCCAAACAAAAGAAACTCATATCAATTTCAATAACCGTTCTCAAAGTGGTCAGTTATGGAAAATATAGATGTGGATTCTCGTGGGGAGGAGATGCACATTAGTCTACTTTAATAGTAAGTACCTGCTCAGCAGAGGAGAGAGGTGATGCACATTTGTCTACTTTAATAGTAAGTACCTGCTCAGCAGAGGAGAGAGGTGATGCACATTTGTCTACTTTAATAGTAAGTACCTGCTCAGCAGAGAAAAGAGGTGATGCACATTTTGTACTATGGAACGCTTGTAACGCTTTTAACTCCTTCTTGTTACCCCCCTTTGAAGGAATTATTTTCTGAACGAAAGCTTAAAAATAACCGAGAAATCGACCTTGTTATTAACTCATTTTGATGACTGTACTTGACCTAAAATTGCACGAGAAATCGATTTAACTAGGTTTCAGAACCTATAAATACTTCCTTATCCATCAAAATTGATGTTTTATAGTTAATTCGAGCAACAAGCAAAATGTATTTTGATCCTTCGGTTCTACTCATGACTTAGGGCCTAGGGGGTAGAGCTGAAACCAAAAGATCGGGGCAATCGTCACCTTATAGGTACACATATTAATTACTCAAGTTCGACACGCACTCTAGTTCGACACGTAGGTACTGTAGTTCGACACGCACTCTAGTTCGACACGTACTGTAGTTCGACACGTACTGTAGTTTTACAAACCCTAAGGTTCGACTCTGTCGAACTAAAGCTAAAGTGCGCTACCTGGATTCAAGTTCGACACGTACTAAAATTCGACAAGAGAACTTCGACTGTCGAACTAGAGTTTTGAAATCTCCGATCTCAAGCGACGATTCTTTACGAGCTTAAAATCTATTCGTTTGTTTGTTTTCCACTTCTCTCATGATGCTCAGCTATGTGTGAATGTAATCTTAATATTCTCCATAATCCATATTTATGAACATTTAATTAACATATTAGATGGCAGGATCCAATTATATTTATTATTATAACCAACATTGCTTATATTCTGCCTTGTAAACAAAGAGCAAATCTTCTTAATGCCTTCTTCCTGTCCTAAAACTAAAACTTCATCCTATTAAAGTAAAGGCCAGTTGTTACCACAAGCTATTATACCGTCCCTCTCAAAAACATGCCTCAGCCTCCATCAAAAACAATTTTAGTTTTCAGTCCTTCTAGTTTCCAAAAATCTACCGAGCTAGTGTTCTGGTGTGCACAAAAGCCCCTAAGCCCGTGCATTCCTTGCCCCGCTAGCTGCCAGTCCTTGACAAACTTCCAATAGCAAAGATCAACTAGTCATTTACAAATTGAGCACTATACAATTTTAATTGTTTTAAATATTTGACTTTGTAAAATGAGCTAAAACATTGATTTATTAGTTTCATTGATTTATTAGTTTCATTGAATTGCTGGAAGGGTGCGGGGGCCTATTATTCATCAGCGTTGTATTTATAAAAAAACTAGGAAGAAACTACACAAGGATTCATTTCTTTAATGCAAGCTTCTGTCTATAGCTTTTTTATTGATGCGACCTCCAGGCATTCGATGTTGAACTATTTGCTAAGCTTCACCTCGTCTACACCGTTTACTTCCTTTTCATCGATAATCAAGCATTTGTTTTTGGAGTGTTTTAAAATTCCAGGAACACAGATGATGGGTAATTTTAATGAATCCTCAGTCTAATCTCCCAGTCTGTTTGGCACTTCGTGACTCTTCGTGAGCGTTGTCACGGCTCGAGTCACGGCCCGTATGTCCTGACCCTTTGTCACAAAATTGAGTCACGATAGCCACACAATGTTTTGGAATCCTATGTTGTAAAGTTATAATATTATTCTACAATTCAATTGTGCTGACCACCAGCTCAACTAGCCCCAGCCATCCTGCCCATCCTATTGTACAACTATCTATGAGGATAATTCTAAGTTAATAAATCTTTAATAAACTCGATGTAAGACATTACGTAAGATCACACCTTGTAAGTTAATTGTCATGTTAAACACAACAATAGTGTTAGGCATGAACGATATATACTAGGTACGCTGTTAAACTTAATATAAATACCTTACTGGACTTTATATTATATATCCGTCATTATTTGAACGGACATTAATTGGACGCTGGAGGCCCTAACGTTAATTTTAATGTCTGTTTGAATAAAGTCTGCCAGTTTGCGGTCCGTCCAAGTCAACGTTTGTTAAACTTTTTCCCAAAAATATTCTACCACGAACCAGAGGCACCATATAACTGCACTATTGATCTATCACTGCATCCTTTTGCACATTTCCATGCCCATAACTATGGTTAGGGTTACACGTTTATCATGACGTCAAATCAAAAACATCTGAAATTAGTAATCCTCTCCTAAAATCAGGAAAAAGATATTCAGAAAGTTGTTTAGTATTATCATCGGATAGCATGTTGCATTGATAATGAATCGACTTCTCATAGTATCCATGCATTATTAAACTCTTTAAATTTAAAGAGAGTGGATCTTGGCAAATAAACAACTTATTAAGCTGTATCGCAATCCCTCATCAGATTTAAATTGAGTCCTTTCATTATAGTATAATTCGAACAATTGGTATATGAGTTTATCATAGGTTATATTTCTGGTTTCGTCGTACTGTCCATTGTACTAATGTGAGTGTCATTCAATTCCGCTGTACTGTCTGTAGTAGTAGTAACCAGAACCTCCTTCATACCGTAATCCACCATAGTGTCCACCGCGGCGACCGTAGTTCATTCACATTGTGAGTCACAATTCAACAATATAATTTTAAGTCATAATTTTAGGCCACATACGGATCAAGAAGGACAATGGTGTGCGAAGCATGAGGCGTCACTTGTGGTCTCCCCCTCAGTCATCAGTGGGACAACGAGTAAATCAGTTATATTCCTAGTGCTGTGGTAACAAAACGACGTACTAGTAGATATAATAAAGTCATGTGATTACTAAAGTAAGCTCTGAGTGGACGGTTTTCATATTATATCGATGATCTAATATCAACCAGCAAAGCTACCTACTGTGTTGAACATGAAACAAAGTCTCACTCAATGCATTCGAGGGGTGGATAGTGGATACCTCTACACATTGCTTCATATGTATAAACACATGTATCGTGCTCTGAACGATTCTTAAACACCCAAATAAATTATTCGTTATACCATAAACCTGGGGAACTGTACACAATTTAGAACTGAACGTACTCATTACTCAAATTACCCACAGCACTTGCGCAACGGGGACCGTTACTGATTCAATGAAGTGACGAGAACTTTACCTATATTATATCAAACAAGTGACGAGGACTTTACCTATATTATATCTACTCTCTTGCCTCATGTACAGTATCCACTATCAGAGCAATGTCATCCGCAAAACCAGTGTTCGCAAAACCAGGAAACCATTATGCTTGAATAATGAACATTACTCTAGTAGCAGGGAATATCGGTTAAGTGTGTGTCATGTAGGTCTAGCACGTGCACGAGTCTTAAACTTATCGAGGTATTGCTCCACATAGTCCTCCTTAGTCCTTAATCTATTATAATTGTAAAAGGTATTAGCTAATGACCTTATAGTTATAGTTTTTGATCCTTAAGTACGCCCAATATATGTAGAAATTGCGGACACGAATAGAATTCTCAACTTCCGGCCGTGAGGATAATTCAACATTAAAATATCGAATAAAGCTGTTGAGTGTGAACACACATATTGTTATAAGAGAAATTACTTAACACCCCCAACTGAGAGACTGAAATAAATAACAATGACATAGTCTGCTTCTTATTCGTTCATAATGGAGTTAGTCCTTCTCGGAATTAAAAATAACCAACGACAAAATAAGTTCATATCTGCGCAAATAAAATCAATGAAACAATAATTTTTCAATGAAACAATAAGTTTTATTTTACATTCCTTTAATCATAAATAAAATAAGAGCTTAAACCACGAATTAGTTAACTAGAAGTAAACTTGAGGAAATATTATTCGGTGATTGTATATAATTATTTTTAAAATTTTATTTGATTGTTAGTATTTTTATTATGGCAAGTGGTTGAATTTAGTGAGACAGGGTCAGTTTCTCTATTGTCTTAGAAATATGTCTACTTTACAGTAGGCAATGCTGAGTGGCAGGAATGAGGGACCAAAACGCTTGGGGCTAACAATGGCCCATTTACAAACCACTTCAGACATGGCAATGATGTCATTCTGCTTAATTCGTCTGAAACTGACCCTACTGCACTTCTAACATTCTATAAAAATCTCTTCTAAAATAGGTATAAAGATGCATAACACAAAACACACAAACAAAATGTTTATAATCCATATATAAATTTCTATAGAACTTTTAAATTTCTATAAAACTAATAAACCTATATATATTCATTTTGCACCCAGAGAAAGATGTGATCACAGAGGTAGTTTCGATATTATATTCATGACAAGGTATGGGGCTGCTGCAAGTTATATTTTGCTAAGATATTACAGCTTTTGCAAGCTTAATTAATCTATGCAAGGTCAATTTTAAATGAATAGGCAGGATAGGAAATTTATTTTTGCAGGAATAAAATTAAGGCTTTAAATTGATTATCAGCCTTACTACAAAACCTGCCATATTATATATGGCAGGATTCGATTACTGGAAGGGGAATATTATTCATCAGCGTCATATATATTTTTAAAACTAGGAAGAAACTACACAAGGGTTCATTTCTTTAATGCAGGCTTCTGTCCATAGCTTTTTTATTGATGCGACCTCCAGGCATTCGATGTTGAACCATTTGCTAAGCTTCACTTCGTCTACACCGTTTACTTCCT